AAAAACAGAAATAATAAGTAATCAGGTCAAAATGTGGCTTGAGAAGAATGAATAAATTGGTCTGTCGTCCAGATGCTAGAATAACCTGTGTGAGCTTGACACAGTACCAGCCACTAAATTTCACGAATATACCATTATTCTATTATTAAAACCTAAAATGTTCATTCAGTAGATAAAATGCCTTTCTCTTTTAAAAAAGTAGCAACTTTCGAATCCATATCTACAAGACAGTCTTTACCTTCAGGAAGAAAATGTTGTAAAGACTACTCATTACTCGGTAGATTACCTGCTCTCTTAAAAGTAATTAGTACGGCAATATCATTTTTCTAGTGTTAAAAAGCGAAATCAGAACATAAACTACGTAGTATACAGTCATAATACGTATTCTTCTAAAACTATCTTCCAGTCTAAATACAAGTTTTATTCTGATGGATGTGCGCTGAAGTTCACTACAAACATTTTACTGACACACTGGTTACCATTATTAATGAAAACTCCCTGTTTAACTATACGAATGAACATTTCGCTGAAATACCTACTATAGAATAACACCATTGAGGAATACTATTTACCGCACGGTTATTTTTGTATTTTTCTTTAATATAAATTTTTTTATCCCGTTTTGTCCAACAAAATGATCAGCTTTAAAATAATAAATATTAATTACTGATTCCTGAAAAGTAATACAAAGTACTAGCTGTATTGTTTCGAACGTTGTCATGACACCGATAATGTGTTCTTGAGTACGTTGTATCTGGTAGCGTTCCGATTGCAACAATGTTCCTGAACACATGAGCACGAATTTTCAAAAACAAGTTAACCAGTCACTTAATTTTAAATGTTTTTAATCACACCCAGGAAATTCCCATCACTAGGGATCAGGAATCACAATAACCGTGCAAAAAATGTCAGCCACTGTTGAGAGTACAAATGTATAGAAAAACATTGATAAATTGAGCTCATTTCATGTTACTCTATTCATCAAAATAAGATTAAAGCAAGACACAAAAAATCAAACTTACATTGGTGCTTGTGCTTCTGTGATTGGATCAGGATAAGGTGCATTAATTTTTTCTTGGACACAACGTAATCCAACTTCCTTTGCTAATGAAGCATGTGTGGTTATTAATTTCTTGAATACATTAATTTCTTGTCTAACATTACTTCCAAGTTCACTACCAACTTCATCCAGCGAGGGTATTATATGATCACTAATTTTGATATGATAAAGAATTGGGTATATATATATATATATATATAATGCACAAAAATACAGTACTAAGCAGATTTAGGGCACAAATGAGAAACTGAATTACAGCTCAATGTGTATCATGAAAAATATAAAGTGGTGGATCTTTATCAATTACTGATCAGCGCCAAAAAACTAGAAAACATGACATTAATAACTGCTTAGAGACCAATAAATTGGAAACGTCTCAATCCACTGGAAAGTCATTTGCAGCAAGAATAGCTCAGTGACGTTTCAAACTGTGAGTGTGAATGAAGTGGATTCAAACCCACCAGAAGGGATCAGTTTCCTCAAGACTGGGGAGTGTATCTAGCCTCGAAATGCGAACCTAAGTAATGACAAATAATCAAGAAACATATTGCTTACGCTTCAACAAGTGGAATATCGGATATCGATTGTGGAAAATTTAAAGCAGGAACATTTTCATTGTTGGTTACTGTGGTGATAAGTCTGTCAAGAAAACAACCCCAAGGTTTAGGACGATTAATTACTACTTCTTGTTTTTGATCTGAATAATTTGACTGAGAATTTGAGTCGTTTCCCAACAATGGTGAAAGACGCATATGCGTTATCCAAACATGACGTCCAAATGGTCCTCGAATAATTAAAATTGCAGCTGGTCCATCTTTTAAACAATCAATTTTTGGTTTTATGGTTGATTTAAACGAGTTCGTAGGGAATTCGCACAATCCAATTATTAAATTGGGTTCGGACCAGAAATAGTGAAATTCTGACCGACCCTTAGATGAATTCGACTCTTCATCCATAATCAATTTCAAAATGTTATCTTCTGCTAATTGAGAACATGTTGTATCGGTCCCGAATGGTCCAGGAAATGATCCAGCTACTGACATTAAATTTGACAGACAAGCCTCAGCCGCATCACAAACACGTTTTGAGGATGGAACTAAAGGTTTTTGACCTTTGAGAATAGTAGTAGGAGGCTCATTTTTTGCCTGTTTATTCTGATTTAGATGAAAAACAGAGAACGTAGTTTAATATAAGGTACTCAGAAACAGTAGTTTGCGGAGAAAAAAAAATACTATGTAGTACTAACGTTTATCCTAACATCTACGGCTCAATAATCAATGAATAATGGATCAAAATTAAGACATTTTGCTACTTGATATTTTTTATTTAATAAGATTTAACTAACTTATATTCATACATAAACGCTTTTCCCGCAAACACAAACTAAAATATTATTAGAATGCTATCAGCTGTCACATGTAAGTAAATTTGAGAAAAATTTCATCATGTGATGGTAACATATGAAGGGAATTCTTTCAAAAGATTATTGTTCACTGTATTATGCATAAATAGTAGTTATTTGGATTATCAATCATTAAGTAAATATTTAAACTTGGATTAATTTTAATTTGGTTATTTATTCTCTGAAGAAGTGACTTACATTAAGCCACGAAACGTCAGAAAATCTAATTTTTCTACTCATTGGGATATTACAAATATACTATTTATTTATAACAATCTACCCAATGCTCAATTTATTCGAAATTATCAAATCAAACCTTGATAATGATACCTATTAAGTAGATATTGTTTAATAATAAGTTTATTCATTGAAAGTCTAATATAGAAAAAAAGATTTAGCTTATCTACAGTTCAGAGGTGATTTTCATCGGGAAATGATATCAATTGAGGAATTGCTAGATAGCATCAAATGTTTGGTTTGACCCAATTCCGGTTCTTCAGCAGTAATTATTACTATGATATTGATTTAAGGTACACAATCAACTCATATTTCAAATATAATCCATAAATAGTTGAATAGGTCTAAAGAAAACCAAATAAATCATTTTACCATCGATATTTAGTTGATGAATATACTATGGTTTCGTTAGTATTTTGTTTACTACACTAAGATGGTTCACAAACACTCAGTATATTATAAAACTAATACTTTAATCACTGAACTATTCCTCTCCACTAAGAAAAAAATGTTAAGAGTATTGTTATATCTAATTATTTAGCTCTGAACGGGTCATTATTATAAGATTAGCATCAAAGATTTGACAAAAATTAAAATACAACATGTAACAACCAATAACATACTGAAGACTTAGCACCACAAATACCCAATTCAATTGTTTCTAATATAGTCCATACACATTCTCGATCAGATAATAATAAATTCACATGTTGTACAATCCATGAAGATAAACAATAATACGCAGCAACAATAATACTATGTAGCTGCCTTTTATGGTCTTTTTTTTCACGGTTACATTGATTTGTAATAAATTCACATATTGATCGGACGGTATGTCTATCTAAAAAGAAATATGAGAGGTGAAAGAAAACGATAAAAGATCTAAAACATAAATGTCTTTTACTTCAATCAAAAATGGAGTTACTCAATAACCAACTAAAAGGTTTACAAGTGTTTCATAGTAAGAAAAAGAAACTAGTAAAAAACTAAACTGTATATTCACTCATGCTGGAATTGATTGATATGTCGTGACATAAACGATAAGAATTGTTCTTGATCCGAAAATTCCAGAGTTGCATGCATCAAGTCTGGTATCACTACAACAAAAGACACTTATCCAATTATATGAGTGTTGACAGTTTTGTTTATTCTAAAATAGTATTTTTACATCGATATAATTCTAGTTAAATTTGTCTTTTTCATTCAATATTGAAGACTTACGGCAACAAGAAAAGGAAAGAAGTTGAAATAGGTTTTATAAAACAATTACACTTTCAAAAATAGTTTTTATAAATCCTTATCGTTTATTGATCTCATGTATTATGTAGTCAGCTAGGGTTTATTTCTTCCACTACACACTCATGATACTGGACACTACCCGTACAACTTATCACCCTGTGAATTAAAAGGTTTGACGATAGTGTCTACCATTTTTTCGTAGTATAAACTAACTACGAATTTAATTCGAATTGTACGGTTAATTCAAGAAACGACATCTTTTAAATAAAATCTCCTTAGTTTTATTACACTTCCCTAGGGGAGTGGCTATAGATGAGGATTACCGAAGTGTACGAAAGTGAGACAAAAAAACAACGATTCGGTGCTCCATCGTTCTCGGTTATTGTTCAGTTGATATCAGTTTGCCATACAAAATAACTTTACACAAAACAATCTTTTGAATTAATTCAAATGACTTTTTGATCTGAAATATGAAGATAACAACTTTTTAATTGACGGATAATAAAAAAATCTTATCAAATGAAACAAGTTGAATATTAAAGTACTTACAAGTAGATGGATCAACTGGTGTAACATGTACACTAGATAAACCAGAGATGATTTCTAATAAATAAAGTATAACTGATGAATCATTTTTCCACTTATATACTAAATTACCACAAAGCAGTGGTGTCAGAATATTGAAGAAACTAGATGTTGTGTCTAAATCGTAAGAAGAAAGTTTGCAACTGATGAGTATATATATATAACACTAGTGTATAAATATTACGAAGCACCTAAATATATTTGAGGAAATCAATACACGTGAATAGAATAAGCCAAACCAAACGAAAGTATGTTCTGTGGGGCTTTGACAACAGATCACATTAGTTAATCCAACGAATTAAATGACGAAACAAACAAACTTGCTGTCGCATCACCTACGTGAAATATGTTGAACATGCACTAACTAGATCATGTATCTTTAATACCAAACAACCACCCTCCACTACATCAGAAGTGAGCTAAGTGGGAAACTGTGGTGTTTGAATGAACCGTTGATTCCTTTATACTTGTTGAATGCTTGATTTCGAATTCCAAATACAGTACATTCGTTAGTGCTTATCTAGTACTTCTTGATCTGATTACGTTATTTCTGGGATTCCTAGTTCATACGATAATTCAAATAATTCGAAACATTTTATTGGCGTCGCGATGCAGCCTGCGATGGAAAAGTTAGATATTCATTCAACTTCTGAAGCTTTTGAGGATTACTTTGAAAGGTTAGAAATTTGGGCTATGACCAAGGAAGATATTGAGGATCTTAATATTGTAGCACATTTCCTCACATTCATCGGAAAAGGAGCATACAGCTTATCTTTATCAACGATTTCAAAAGACAGTGTAGAGTCAAACAGCAGTTCAGAGTTAAATGAAACTCAGAATTCTTGCGAAATAACAGTTTCTAATCAATCGACTTATCAGATTTCGCATGTTATTGTACCAGATATGGTTTTTCTTAATGATTCACTTATTTCTGACGAAATTCCTTGCAAATCTGAGGAAAATATGTTGAATAAACCTAGTCATGATCAAAAACCTGATGTAGTTTTGATAGATGCTGATTTTTCTAATGATCCTTTACTCTGCAATGACATTCTTAATAAATTTGAGGAAACTATTTCAGAAGAATCAAATCCTGATGTCATACTAAATATTATTTGTCCTCATGATGCATTTGTTTCTTGTGGGAAACTTGTTCAATGTGAAGCACAAGTACTAAATGAGCTCGATTTTGATTACAATTCGGATGATCTCATATCAACTGCTGTTTATCCTTATCACAAAAACACTTCTAATGTTTACTCTAACCAATGTGAGAAATATGATTTAAATGAAGCCACATCATTCATAAATTGGGGATATGAAGATCCAACATTATTTCGTGGGGGAGGATATTCTAAAAGTCTATGGTTCAAATTCTAGGTAGCAGCGGTTTCAGTGCACAACCGACATGGTGATTACACAATCCCAGGAAGCAGGTGAGTCTATTCCGATTTCGGTCGTTAATTCTAATACTAATGAGTGCATTCTAGATAACAGAGTTTTTATCGAATACAATGTCAGACATACACAGGATGAACTTGAGAAGAAGACGTACAACTGATTACAGACACCTAGACTCCAATTTAAGCTGTGGCGGATGTGGTGTTTGAATGAACCGTTGATTCCTTTATACTTGTTGAATCCTTGAGTTCGAATTCCAGATACAGTACATTCGTTAGTGCTTATCTAGTACTTCTTGATCCGATCATGTTATTTCTGGGATTCCTAGTTCATACTATAATTCAAATACTCCTAACTATCATAGAAACACTGCTATAGTCTAATAGATAATACACTATCATATTAATCTATGAAGTCATTAACTATTAGACTTGCGTCGCACAAGGGAGTGTTGACTTGTTGAAATACTTACGTGAAGAGACTAGACAAAATGATTGCAATTAATCACTAATGGCGAAGATGCATTTACTACCTAACGTACCTACAAATTTTGATAATTTATCCTGGAAAATTCTTTCACAGTCCAACAGTATTATTTCTGTTTACAATAATAAATTTCCTTTTTTGATATTGAGAAGTGGGAGAATTGAAACCAAGATGTATTTTATTGTATGCACACAATGTTGCATTCACTTATCTTACTGAAATTACATGAACGTAATAAATCAATTTAAAAATTGTTATCATAAACGACAGTATCACTAATGACATTCTGTGTGATCTGATAAATCTTCAATCATTTAATTGAAATATGAACGAAGTTCTCCGTCGGACACGAACGAGTTAGACTTTCGAGGTGTTACACCTCCGAACAGACTGTCAAAATAACATTAATTCAAAATCAGGGAGCGAAATTTCCTGGACAGAATGCACAATTACGCGCTGGTGATATATATTATTAAAACAGTCTGCAGATAACTGACACAATTTCATCAACAACATGACCCAACCACAAACACGAAGAGTAATTAAACAAGAATATCTATTTAAAAACTTAGAAAAAAAGTAACATAAGCTTAAAAATCCTTACGAGATTTGCCAGGGTCGGTTCGAATATTAGATGACTGCATCTCATCAGCTGACATGTCTTCAATTAAAGCCAACGCCACACCTAATCGATAGTTAAAAATGAAAATTATTGCGATTTATGATTTGGTTTTGATACATATATATAATGGAAATATAGAAACTACAGTGAGTGTTGGCAACAGCGTTCATAAAACTTAAAAATAAGTGAAACTGAATGATAATTTAAGTACTGATAGAAGAGAGACATTTAAAAACAATACAGGCGTTTTTCAAGAGTCCAGTTATTACGGCGTTTAGTTGCTCTATTTTACGTTCTTTATGTAGTTTGAACATATCTTATGAATTAGATATTTTGTCTAACTATTTATATGGATTTTGTATTCCATTTCATGATTCTAATAAATAACAATGCAATGTAACTAAATAGATTTAATCAAGTTATAGAGATATGAACAACTGGTGAAAGTAGCCGAACAAACAATTGGTAATATGAAATAATAAAATATATTTTCTAGAAAAACAAAAGGCTGAATAATCATTAATAAGATGTCATTAGTGTATAATTGTCTTTATCCCATACTTAACGATATCGGGTAATAAGCTATTGGTAAAAGCAAGATATTTATATATGGAAGAAATCCCTTAATAAACCCGATGTGCGAACAAGACCGTCTACAGACATCTCCAAAAATTACCGAGATGCATGAATGTTCTTATAATAGACAGTAAACAATGATCAAATCAATCAATCATAGCCAATGTATGACCACTTGGCATGAATGTGCATCAGTTCAAGTGGCTATACACCAAATCAGTACAAAGAGAGAAAGACTGACAAGATGAGAAGTATGGTAACCTGCTAAGAAATTTGGGACATTCACTTCTCAATCATCCCAATGTTTTAAAAAGTATTCTTGTTTTAAATTTCTTTTCACTGCAAATAATTATGAAAATCAACTGCATACATTCACGCGCTTTTATAGGAAGCTTACAACTTTAATTCTGTGCTCAACATTGGAAAATTCAGATGGAAACAGCGCACTCCATGGCATATTTCCTTTTTACCCTAACCTTTGAAGAAACGAAAGGCAATTACATTGGAATTCATACGATGAATCAAGAAAATATTAATAACTTGGTTGATAGGATTCGATCTGCACTAAGAAGGACCTGACACACATGACATTAATCACCACCCAATGGTCAATCAGTTGTAAATGCATCTCAGTCCTATGGGAGGTCAGTTGCGGCCCGGATAGCCAGTAGTAACGTCTCTGACTGTGAAGCTGGGTGACACGGGATCGAATCAGTTCACCCAAGATTATAGGTACACCTCACTGACGAGTGCCAAGTAGCACGAAACACAGGTCCAGGTTTTCCTTTGACTACCTCCAACCAGCATCTGAAATATTGACCTGGTGGTTGAGTGGCAAATACTGACTGTTGAAAAAATATTTGTGAAATACAGTTTGTAAGCAGGTCTAAGAGAAACTTGTTGTAACAGTGCATAATTGGTGCTGAGTATCCCCTACTGTAAAACTTTATAATATTGTATAAAGCACTTAATTGTTGGTATAGGGGTTTATGGAGCATGTTGAATGTCATAATTTACATCACGGTTAACCTTACTAAGATAACCTTTCATAATCAAGAACTGTTGGATAGCTGTTTGGAACTAGTATGTGGATTATCAGCAGAAATCACCCACGATCCTATTGGAAATCTAACCCTGAACTTTCAGTAGCTTAAAGGCTAAGAGCTCCTCACGGAACCGAAAGTTCCTAGCTCCAATCACCGATAGGATAGTGAATGAACACTGCTACTGAGTCATACACTAAGACGAAATAATTGTCCAATGCCTCCTGATTTTGAACAATTGCTTAAGATCAGTCTATAATGTAAACTATATTATCATCTCCAATAGAGAACTAAATATAAGACATACATTAAAGAGAAGTATTAATGACGACAATGGAATCTTATTTGAAATAACAAAAAGATAATACTCACTTAATAACAATTGAAAATTTACCGGATCTTCTGTACTACTCAATATATCACATAAAATATTAACCATCATATTTTTTATATCATTCAATGAACATGGATTATCCTCATTAGACATCAAAGGAATCAAAGCTTAAAGAAACAGCAATTAATAGCAATGAGAAAGATGAATAAATATATTAATAAAAAAAAATGGTATGATAATTAAACTTCTTGAAAAATAAGTTACAAAACAAGTATCATGATTAAGGGGTTGTAAAGAAACCATATGATGAAAATATATTCAATGATGTAACAAAATGTATTTTAACAATTTCATACACAAATTTCTTCAATGTCCAATATTTACATGAGGATCTCTTATTAAAAGTTTATACACAACATGAAATGCGTGTTAATTTTGTTTTAGTTTTATGTAGTACAAAACCATCACCGGATAATAAATGAATATCATTATTTAGTATATGTGGTTATTTTTTTGTTTTGCAGTAATCATAATATGGTGAGAAAAAAAATGAAGAAGAATATTTTAAATGAACATTATGAATTTCTATATTAAATGTTTCTATGGAATGATTTAAGTATTAAAAAGTGAGATATTTCTGATAAAAGATGATTAATGATTAGGCAATAAAACTAAATCAATTCCAATATATTTGGTATGTGGTTAATAGTGGAATCCAGGATACGCTTATCAATTCATCGGCTTGATGTATTTGTATCGTTTACGCTAAAACTTAAACCTAGGAAACTTTTAGTTCAAATGGCCAATTGGACATCCACTGAGCTACTGGGTTCAGATAGTTACTAACTTGTTTAATGAGTATGAAGGTTATTAGTGAGAGTTTGTGACTTCCTGTTATTGATGTAAAAGACTTTAATTGATCAGTTTCTGTTGGCGTATGTGAACCTGGTGCTGGCCACAAACGAAATATACGTGTGACACAACACAATATTAAAGCAATCCGCTCAGGATACACATACAGCGACAGAGACTAAACAACTTCAGTTCTGAATATCAATAACGGAAAATTTCAAAATCCTTATTAATACTGAATAAAAAGCCAGATAAAATTATATACGGATAAAGTTACTCATGTAATTAATTAGAAATATGAGTTTTATGATTTAGTATAACTTCTTATAACTCATCAAATTACAGTATGAGTTATTCAGAAAGTTTGTATTTATAGGTAAATATCTCAGTGAAAAAAGCGAACACTAAAGTGATGACATATTAGTTAAATCACCGGATACTCAATAACAATAAATAGTAATGTTCAGAAGACATATCATCTATTCTGTTTTAGATAGCTAGATAGTATCCTTTATCCCATGTATAAAATGTACAGCTCAAAGCTGAGTTTGTTACAAATGAAAACATACTCAATAACTTATAAATCACTGTAAACAAATTTGCTAAGACACAGAAAAATGTATCTGATTTTAGAACTAGTCAATTAATTGTTAGTGGACGTATTTACTAGACAGGACAATATTCTTTTGAATAGATTCTTCGGAATCAAGTAGTTATGGGTAATATTGAAGTAACATAGTAAAGTTCAGATAATATTTTATTAGCTCAACTATATTTCCAAGTCATGATAATAAAAGGTTTACTAAATGTTCAATAATAGACCCGGCTACTGAGTGCTTCTTTTACCTACTTGATTCCTATTAAAAGTAGCAACAATAATTTGGATTTTGACGATTCCTATTAGTTTTTAGTTTAAACTACACATAAGTTTATAAATTCTGGCTAGAATACAAAACAATATTCGGAGGGAAAGATTGACTATATGAATGTAATTCACAACACTATTAGGGGTGAAGCAGGAAATATATGATTTATAGTCATTTGAAAGCCAAATCAAATAAACACAAAGGTGATATCTTTTATTTTAAAATATCAATGTGATTATATCTATCAATATGAAAGTATGAATCAATAAATTGGAACACTACATTGGAATAATCTAGGGGCAATAATACTATTTCCCCTTCTGGACAGTGTGGCTAAAATTACATTGAATAGTACACCACAAAGAGTTGTAATCATTAGTTTGACAGAACCCTACTAACATTTGTAGTGTGCATGATTCAAGAAATAAGTGTTGCAACAAGTACGGTGAATGCTCGACAATACAAGTAAATAGTCAAACAACAACTATCATATATATATTCAACAAACCACTGGATGTTTAACTAAATTTACCCGTATAAACTATAAATAATGCAAAGTAATAACATAACTTAGTGGTCCT